CCCTCTTCCCACAAATACCGCTCCCTCCCCTCTTCCATCACCCATCACGCTCCTCCCTCCCCTCTTCCATCACCCATCAACCCCCCTCCCCTCTTCCATCACCCATCACCGCTCCCTCCCTCCCCTCTTCCCACACCCATCACCGCTCCTCTCCCCTCTTCCCACCCATCACCGCTCCCTCCCTCCCCTCTTTCCATCACCCATCAACCGCTCCCTCCCTCCCCTCTTCCATACCCATCACCGCTCCCCCTCCCCTCTTCCATCACCCATCAACGCTCCCCCTCCCCTCTTCACATCACATCACCGCTCTCTCCCTCCCTCTTTCCCACACCCATCACCGCTCCCTCCCTCCCCTCTTCCCACACCCATCACCGCTCCCTCCCTCCCCTCTTCCATCACCATCACCGCTCCTCCCTCCCTCTTCCATCACCCATCACCGCTCCCCTCCCCTCTTCCTCACCCATCAACGCTCCCCTCCCCTCTTCCATCACCCATCACCGCTCCCCCTCCCCTCTTCCATCACCCATCACCGCTCTCTCCCTCCCCTCTTCCCACACCCATCACCGCTCCCTCCCTTCCTCCCCTCTTCCATCACCCATCAACGCTCCCCCTCCCCTCTTCCATCACCCATCACCGCTCTCTCCCTCCCCTCTTCCCACACCCATCACCGCTCCCTCCCTTCCTCCCCTCTTCCATCACCCATCAACGCTCCCCCTCCCCTCTTCCATCACCCATCACCGCTCTCTCCCTCCCCTCTTCCCACACCCATCACCGCTCCCTCCCTTCCTCCCCTCTTCCATCACCCCATCAACGCTCCCCCTCCCCTCTTCCATCACCCCGCCCGCTCCCTCCCTCCAATCACCCCGCCACCCCCACCCCTCCCCCGTGTCTCTCCCGTTGCCCATAACGGTGATGGAAAGCGCCAGTTTTCCGTCTGCTGCGCTCCGTGCTCAGACGCAGATCGCTGCTCGCGCGGTTTGCTCGTTATGACCCCCGCCTGTAAATTACTCTCCGGATTGATTACGCGTGCAGCACGTTGCTTAATTATGTGTTTGCGCCTCCCTCTGTGTATCTGTGTGTGTACGTGTGTGTGTATGTACGTGTGTGTATGTACGTGTGTGTGTGGAGCGGTGGTGTAGCGATTAGCGCGTTGCGCTACGAACCTGACGACCCGAATTCGATTCCCGCTCACGGCCAACATCGGTGACGATTATCCGAACCGGTCGTGGGCCTCTCCTAGGTCGACTCAGCCTCATAATGAGTACCTGGTGCGATGTGTGAACATACATCTCCACCAGGAAGACAAAGGCGGGCGGGCGTGGTGTTGGCCACCCACCCCCTCGTGTGCCGTGTCGGCCTTCATAGGTGCTCGCTAACAGCACTTGCCCCTACAGTCTACGGCTATGGGGGGGGGGGGGGGGGATCGTTGTCTTTGTTGTCTGTTGGCTCAATGCAGGCGCATTGCACGCTCCGAGTAGTAGTATAGAGGTTGGAGGAGACGCGCTACCATATCCGGCCGCCCGAGTTCGATTCCCGCTCACGGCCAACATTAATCTGTGCCTCTCCGAGGTCTGTTGACTCAGCCCTACAAATGAGTACCTGATTTCGATTTAAAGCTTTCGTGACTGCAGGGATTCATCTTCTTGGTTCTTTCGGTAAAGTCACGTAGAATGGAAAAGTCACGTAGAATGGAAATAAAATGTTTTTTTTTTATTAGTTCCATTCTACGTGACTTTACCGAAAGAACCAAGAAAATTAGTACCTGGTTCAGTGTGTAACCACAAGCATTGGGGAGACAAAGGCGATCGGGCGTGGGTGTTGGCCAGTCACCCGCTCGTGCTCACAAACAGCACTTGCCCTCAACATGCTGCTGAGGCTATACGGGGGTATATATTTGTATGTGTGGCGCGTGAATGGGTGCGCATGCGTCGACACTAATGTCCGCGTGCCATTGGCTGTTCTCAAAGATTTATGAAATCCCATTGCCTGTGAACGAAAAATACCTCTCGCTGCATCCATTCGGGTCTCCGTGCGGGCGTGCAGATATTCCCGAATCGAATTTTGAACAGTGCTGTACAATCACATTAATAAGGGCGGTAATGGGACAGCGTCTCAAACACAAACGCAATCACACACACAAGCACACACAAGCACGCGCGCGGTGTCTATAATATCTTATTGTGATGAATCTGATCCTTAAATTTTTTACTTTGTTCATATTGCGCCGAACAAGAGCGTCGTACGACTCTATCGACCCGACATCGATCCCTGGGCAGCCGTGCGCGACGCGGGTCGCAAATTGTTCCTTGAGCATGGCTTTGAAGCTCCCTCCCCTAGGTTGACTCAGCCTGACATAACAATAAAATGTGCCATTTGTCTAACCAGGAAAGTTTCGCTGATGAGTCTCAAGGCAATATTTTTTTTGCCAAGAGGGTCCTGCATTTAAGGCGGTACGGCAATGTGCGGACTAATATCATTTGTGGGTTTTCTGCGGTGTCCTCCCTCTTGTATAGAACACTCATCAATTGGCTGATATCATCTTAATGTATATAAAGGACTGCAGATCTTGGGTACACTCCCTGGCTGTTTGCCTTTCAGCTTGGTCTGTGACGCGACGCTATGAAACTAAAACTTTCAACGATTTTCTTTTCAGGTAAGGCCCACTCAGCTATATAGTTCTTTTTCAGAAGCGACCTGGCCACAAATGATAGCTCAACGAAGTGGCTCATCACGTGGAAATGAATAGCAGCTTAATACTCTAAACGCACGTCGATTCGAAATGTGGAGGGAATCGACCACGGGGAAAACACGCTAATTCCAAATATACAGAAGGCGTCAGGATCGGAATCGAACCTATGACCTCCTATATACCAGTCAAGGGAGTTAACATCTCATAGCCACCGTGATGATGAAAGAGAGAGAGAGAGAGACACGCAAACTCCAAATATACAGCAGGCGTCAGGATCGGGATCGAACCCACGACCTCCTGTATACCAGGCGAGGGAGTTAACATCTCCTAGCAACCGTGATGATGATGAGAGAGAGAGAGACACGCGAACTCCACAGATATAGCAGGCGTCAGGGTCGGGATCGAACTCACGACCTCCTGCGATATAAAAACAAAAAAAGCATCATTATTATTATTACTACATATTATGACTAACTTAATTAGACTATTTCAGGAGGGTTCTGCATTGGGTGTTTGGCCAATGGAGTTATATTTATTTATTTAGAGTGTCTCGCTTCTTGTTGGAAGAAAACCTCGGTTCCCGTAAAAAACCCAACGACGCACACGGGCGGAGAATGTGACAAAATATAAAAAAAACATCTGCAAACATTGGGGTGCGTGTACAAACCCACTTGCTGCACTGGCACCTCGGCTTCACACTCGAGTTGGAACGGAGCCGTGATTCCTGCTTTTCGACCAAACTTAACCGTGCCAATCGCACCCCCCGATTAGCACGGCTGGCTATGCACGGTGCGAAAGAAGTTCAACATTAAAACTCTGCCCCCCCCCACCCCCTCCACCTTCTGGACTGGGAAATCGTCGTGTAGATCTGTGCTCTGTACAGCAATGAAGATCAAGGAAGCCTCATCACGCAAGAGCTAATCTTTTGTTCAACGTCTTATGATGCTGGTTGTAATCTCCAACGGAACGTCGTAAATATTGACGGTGTACATTACAATACAAATAGATTTTCGCTCTTCAACATTCCTCCTCCGCTGTTGTGCGATCAAACAAAGCAATTGACACATTTGCCCCGGAACGTGAGAACTTGATTTTGATTGTCTCTGTCGGGGTGGAGGGTTATGGTTTAGCAACAACAACAACAACAAACAGATGACATTGTGCACGACACGATAAACTAACCAAAAATAATTTACGAATCAGTATCGTGTCGTTTTATAAACACTGTATCGTGTTAATATATTTCCTGATGGTTCTGAGTCCATGCCTGGTGGGTCTTTACATTCATTAGGCTTCGAGTCAGACAGCCCCAGACGTTTAACCCGTGTGTAGCTACGAGATATTGCTTCGTATCTTGCTTCATGCCTTGAAGGAGATCTCTCATTCGTAAAGACGCTTGTGCCATTACGCCTCTCGCGTATTCGCCGGTGTCTGGATGGGACTGCATCGTGCAACGATGTCATCGTCAACGGCTGATTCTCCATTTGTGATTTTTGTTTTTACTCGTTCCTACCTCGATTCATTCAATTGATGTTCAGTCATGAAGGTTAAGCCTGTCAACCGAATGACCCGGAATGTGTCCAATCTTGCGATGTCTCGGAAGCTACGCAGGCTTTGAGCCTGGATAGTGATCGCGTGGATTTGTCACCGTGCGCAAAGCGCCGAGATGTGGTAGGGCGAGCAGGGCTACACGTGCAGCGAAATCCATTGTTGTGCTGTACTGCTATGGCTCCCACATCTAGGCTGACCATCTTATATCATCGTTTTGCTTAGCGCAAGGCGCTCTATGACAGAGTTTAAGAAGCTGTAACACAACGCGAGTGATTTAGACGGCAAGGGCAGTGTGCAAGGGCCGAGGAATGAGTGACCACAATAGCAGGCGCGTCGCGGGTCACGGGATGGCAAGGGAGGGATGGGGAGGAGTGGAGGGGCGAGGGGAGGGAAGAGAATGGGAATGGGCAACGGGAGAAGAAGTGAGGCTTTGAGAGAGGAACGTTAGGAGGTTAAGGAGGGGGATTGCTGAATGAACGGGGGTGAGGTGTGATTATATCACTGCCACAAATTGTACAGGGTGTGGAGGCCCTCATTCAGCAGTGGAGTGGCACAACAGCTAACCCTTATAAATTGTCCGTGCTAAGGTCATCAGCTGGTGATGCAGAACACCCGCGGTGGAGTTTAATTCACTGCTTGTGGAAGGGAAGGGCCTCTCCCGAAGGGAGCTCTAGAGATCCCCTTCTAGAGGGTCTTTGGCCTACTCTTCCACACACAGACAAAGACGTGCTAACCCAACAGCCCTCTCCTTCTGTGTCAGCAGGTACAGGGGCGCGCCTCCGCTTCGCGCCCTGTGATTGGCTGAGCCACCGGCTCGCAGCTGCCGTTCCGCCGTCGCGCCTGCTTGTGATTGGCCGTCTCTCGTGGGGGGATGGGCAGCAAGGAGGGCTCCTCACCTGTACAGGTGAGCAGCAGCAGCAGCACGTGCATTGGCTTCAACGTAACACAAGCGTCGGTGGTGTGGCCTGATTGCCAATGCATTCCACGGTGGGTGAGACGAAATGAACAAGAAGCAATGCGAATGATATGGTCAACAACGAGACAGGATCTTCTTGGTTCTTTCGGTAAAGTCACGTAGAAAGGAAGTAATAAAATAATAAAAATAAAACATAATAAAATAATTCTCACGACGTTTCGGCCACAACGCAAGCAGCCGTCCTCAGGTGAAGAACATGTCTGTCGATAAGACAGTCTATTTAAGCTGTGAGGGAGGAGGAAGAGAGCCTTGACAAAAGAATTTGCATTTGAAGAGGAATTTAGCATATTTATGGGAAATGCAGGAATGCGAATAGTGCTAATTGTGAAATGCGTGGGAGGTGGGCGGGGGGTTTTCAAAGTCATATTATGCCCATGCATTATGCAGGATTAACGAGACAGAAATTGACCGTTTCTGGAATTTTTGAATAACGGGCCCACATTCGTGCCAGTTTTGCTGTTTTCCTGGTTCTTTCGGTAAAGTCACGTAGAAGGGAAATAATAAAATAATAAAAATTAAAACACTATTATTAAATTATTTAAGTATTTTTATTTTAATTATTTTATTAAACATATAATAAAAATAAAAAATTATTATGTTTTATTTTTATTATTTTATTATTTCCCTTCTCGGGAGCTCTAGAGAATTAAACATAATATAATAAAGTTATTTTATTATGTTTTATTTTTATTATTTTATTATTTCCCTTCTACGTGACTTTACCGAAAGAACCAAGAAAGATGAATCCCTGCAGTCACGAAAGCTTTAAATCGAAGTTTTTCTGTTGTTTTGCTGCCTTGCCACGCTTGGGAATTGGTGTACTTATGCAATTTGAACGTATCTACTTTATTCATTTAATCAATTTGTATTTACTGATTTGCTTACCTTGACTATACGTTGCACTGCTCTCGGTTGTTTGTATTGTTCGTTGCTGTAACGTTCTGACCCGCCGCTACTGGACACCGGTGGAAAGGTAACTTCATAGCTCATCGGATTTCTCCAGGATAAATACAGATTCTGAATTCATTAAATCAATGGAGAGGGGAGTGGTGAAATGCGTGACATTTCCAGTAAAGTAGTAATAGGTTTTTACCCTTTCAACTGGTACAAAAACTGACACCTTTATACAAGGCATCATGTTTGCAATAACCACAATACAAGCAGTCAAAATGCAAACAAAAAGAAACAACTCTGATAATGATATACACTGTATTTGAAGTCCTTAAAGTTGATTGGTCCATGATGCCTTGTATAAAGGTGTCAGTTTTTGTACCAGTTGAAAGGGTAAAAACCTATTACTATATTTTGCCACTGGTAAAGGAGATGTCTCATAGCGTAAATTTCCAGTAAACTAGACCAGTATGCAGCATTGGCCCAGAGTGAAACTGGTCCCCCATGCCCCCCCCCTCAACCCTTCATAGTCCAGGACCTGTGCTCCTCCGATCCATAAACCCCTGGTTCACTTACACAGCCTGCACACGTGACACCTAAGCCACTGGGTCCCATGTTAGTCTATGGGTCACAATGCTGGACTATGTGAGTCGAGGTGCATGTGTGTAAACGTGTGATTATTGAGGATACAACGTGTTGAGTAATTTTGATCAGAATTTGATGTAAATTCACATCACACGCGTGGCTGTGATGCGTGTGCACGTGGGTGAGAAGTCCGTATACTCGCCTAGTACACGTTCTAATGGACTCACAGTGTGGAAGGGATAAAGGGTCTTCCCAACGTGCACCATAATCCGCTGCTTTGGAGGAGATAATAGTTGAGCGATCACACAGTCGTTTGTGAAACACCCACACCGCACAAGGTTGCGATGTGGCCAGGAGTTGGCAAGTACAGCCAGTGGGCTCGTGAAAGTCGTTTATGTGGATATTTAAGTGATGTCTCCTCGTGTGCACGGTGTTTTTTTTGTTTTCTGTGCACTCCGGTTTCCTCGCACATGTTAAACCTAACCTTTAAATATACCAATGCTATCTTGTTCCCAGAGCCTCAAACTCGTGTGCTACGAACCCATGACACTCAGCCTATTGGTGTGTAGCTACAAGATAAGAGCTGTGTTTTTATATTAGGTGGCAGCTTTCTTTTTTTGTAGAGTTCAGAATTTTCCTGAAAGATTGTCTTGAGACTCTGTGAGGCCTTGCTGCCGGGCAGTGGTGGCACACGGCTATAATCCACTAAATGTATGTGCGTTGAACTTCGCTCACACCGTACGTAGCCAGCCGTGTTAATCAGAGGTGCAGTGGGAAGGACAACAAACTCAACACAAAAATCAGTTGTAAAGAAAATGAATTTTCAAGCTAGAGTGCACAGCTTCAGAGACTTCCTAATATTGGAAGGAAGGCCGTTCCAGATGGCCACGGAAGGGACATCTAAAAGTGCCCGATGCGGTGACCTTCTTCGTTCGATGGCCAGCCAAAAGCCGCTGCGAGGATGACCAGAGTTCGTGTGATGGTTTACGCTCCTGGACGAGATGAGTAAGGTGTTGCAGTTCATTTGCGGCAAGCACTTTGTGTGTATTCATAATCAACGTTTTTGGGTTTAGATCGCGTTAATGTGTCGTAACCCTCCACCACCCGACACGGCCAATTGCATCCAGCATCATCAGGCGAATTGCCCGATGATGCTGGATGCAATTACCAGCGAAACGTCGTACTCAAATTGTAAATGTTGTGGCTTCAACACACCGGTGGGCTAAAGCAGTGAACTATTTGTCCTTTGTCAACGTGACACTTTTTTACTGATTGGCCGTGTCGGGTGGTGGAGGGTTACGACACATTTATAAATAACGCGATCTAAACCCAAAAACGTTGATTATGAATAACATTGGTCGCGAAAGCCTACGTGTTAAACTGACTTTGTGTGTAATCGGCGCGACCTCACGATGTATCCGTTCGGTAACCGGAAACCAATGCAGCTCAGCGAGCACTGGACAGACATGGTCGGACCTCGCAGTCCCAGTCATGACACGTGCCAGATACATTTGTATGCGCTGCAGCTTCGTAATCTGGAGGAAAGGGTAGGTGGATCACACAAGCAGGGGCGGCCCTTGACTAGCTGCCAGCCCCAAGGACAGATCTACGCTGAGGTTTTTGGTATACTGGGGAACACTTTGCCCCTATTTTCCGTTTAATTATTTTTTTGCGTGTTTTTTTTTTAACAGACGCATCATTATTAGGTCCGTCCGTCCGTCCGTCCAACCAATACATTCTCAGAAATGTTGAGAAATTAATTATAATTTATATTCCCTCTGCACGCGCACGTGAATCTTCGTTATTTTATCTGTATTTTTTGGCATTCAATTTTTTTTTTCACTCGAATTTGGTGCCCCTAGGCGACCGCCCAGTTCGCCTGCATGGACTGGCCGCCCCCGGCACACAAATGCTGTGAGACTTTCTTCGCGTGGGTATCGAGATAACGCCATAGCCTGGCTTGCCAGGGGAAGGTGGTACAGCAACGTGTGGGCGAATATCGGTGACTTTGTGGTGTTGGTATGAGCCCTGGGGATGGAACGGCGCTGGACAAATTAACGTGTTTCCTATTTGTTATTATTGTGGGATAGAGTGTTGCCCCCTCGCACCTGTGAGCTTCACCCCACGTCCATCATGAATTCCCTGAATCCAACTCAATGTATATAAAGGACTGCAGAGCTTGAGAAATTGTTGGCGTTGGCTGGCAGACCGCCTGGCTGCTGCCTTCCGTATTATCTGTTAACAATACTGGATATCTTTGAAAAACAGCTTCATAGCTCATCGGATTCCTCTAGTCTAACTAAATATTCATGTTCTGTGGTTCCTCAGTGATTGTCAAATGCAAGTTGCATTCACAACGCTACATATATACACACACATATATACAACTAAACATTATTATAATTTGAATTATTATTGAATTATATAGTTTTATTTCTTGTATCCGAGATGACTGCACTGATAGAAAGAGGAAAACATGGGAATTGGGAAGACATGCAAGTTAAAGACTTCATAGTGAATATAAAAATAGTACGTGGGCATTATCCCTTCTGTAGCACACGTGGCTAAAACTAAACTAAAAACTAAACTATTTTATTTACTCGGTAAAGGCCACTGAGCTATTAGCTGGTTTTCAGAAACGACCTGGTGACGAACGACAGCTCAACGAAGTGGCTCATCGTGTGGAAATTTACAGCATGCCAAATAGTCTAAACACGTGATGTTGATTCTAAATGTGGAGGGCAAAAACCGGAGGACCTGGAGAAAAATCCACGCGGCCACGGGGAAAGAGAGAGAGAGAGAGACACGCAAACTCCCAATATGTAGCAGGCGTAAGGGTCGGGATCGAACCCACGACCTCCTTCATACCAGGCGAGGAAGTTAACATCTCCTAGCCCCCGCGGCGACGAGAGGAGGCGTTCATGGCCCGTAGCGAGAGACTCGGGGCAGTAGCAGCCAACAGAGGAAGCAAGCCCGAGAGGACGTCCACCACAGAGACGGAGGCATGAAATCGGCTGGTCCGTAGGAGCGGGGCGGATCTTTTCACATCACGCGCCCACGTGAAGTGATGACAACAGCAGCTCGGGGGGAGGGGGGAGAGCTTCATCCAGCAGTGGATTAGATCGTGGCTGACGTTTGACGATGAGCAGGAGGATGAGGGGGGGGGGCTTCACCCAGCAGTGGATAGAACATGGACGACGACGAGGACGATAATCGCAGTGAAAACATTCGAAGACGCAGCAAGGGTCAATCAGATGCCTGTTTCCTCAACCCATCGCGACCGCCTGTGGCACACACACACACAGCACACACACAGCACACACACACAGCACATACACACATCACACACACACAGCACACACACAGCACACACACACACAGCACACACACAGCACACACACACATCACACACACACACAGCACACACACACAGCACACACACACACAGCACA